ACGACAGTTCAGTCCATATCCAGTGTGGGCATTAGAGCATTGAGAGGACCTTTCCCTAGTACGAGGGGACCGGGAAGGACGCACCTCTGGTATACCCTGGGTAGCCAAGTGCGGAGTTTTATCAAATTATAGAGACTAGTGATAAAAGTTTATCCGATCATAAAACTTTTCAAATCATATGGACTATATTCAAATTTTTATCGATCAAATTTGTAGTTTAACCTTAAAAATTTTAGACTATTAATGAGTTTTATCGCCTGAAGTATTAAACATATAAAATCGAAAATTAAAATGAAAAACAAAAAAAAAAATATTTAGCACATAAATGTCTATATGAAGCTTCAACTTGACATGTTTCACAATATATATATATATATGTATAAATGCAATGAAGTCATTAGATCTATAAAAGATCTGTAACAATTATTAGCCTAGTAATTGGAGAATTGATGGTGAGATCTGAGCCGTTGATCATGAACTGAATCATAGGATCATTAGATCTTTCATAATATTCAGCTAGATTTTGTTGCATCATTATCCAATCCAACAGGTTACATTATTATTATTTTATTTTATTTATTATTTTTATTTTAACATTATTGTTTTTTATATATTTAAAGTAATTTATTTTAATTATTACATGAATATTAATGGCAACCGACAGAAAACGATTCTTTTGGGTGTAGAGTTGGTGTTAGAAATGTCACTTCTTTTTTCTTTTTATTCTTTTTTTTAATTATATATTAAAAGTCAAACATGAATTGTAATAATTGCATTCTCTACTTTTAAATAAAATAGTCAACATTTTGATTTTTCCTTTTTTTTTTTTTTTGCTGAAATGGTCCCTAGTCTTTGGAAAATCTACAATTTGATTCATAACTTTAAAAAATTTCAATTTTGCCCTCGATATAATATTATATTAAAATTCCTTAATTAAGTAATTCATAATAAATGAATTAGTTAGATTTTTTTTTGTTAATAATAATTAACATTAACACATTGTGTCGTATAAGAGTCGCCTTTAATTTCTTTTTCCAATGGTCTTGATATTGGTTTATGAGCATATTTCTTGGCACATAAAATCTACTATAGAATTAAAATAAATCATTAAATGAAATGAAATAAACCCAAAATATATTTTTAAAAAAATAATTATTATTATTAAAAAAAAAAACAAAAAACAAAATTAAATGCAGCAGGTGATTGAATGGGTAGGCAGGATATTTGTATTTGATACCTCTGTGCACGTGAAACCCACGTACTTCTATCCACCGACACCCATCCCTTTAATTTCATATTCCCTTATTTTTCTATGGCGTTTCGGTAAAATTATATCTACGCTTACTAGACTCGAAATGCCTTAAATTGTACTATGAGGGTGTGACTAGTCGTCAATTTTTCCTATCCGACATTCTCTTCTAAAATATGTCCGTCCCTTCCATCTTTTCAAACCTTCTTCTCAAAATAGGGCTAGAAGTTTTGGCATATGTTGTTTGGTTCGAGGCAACATGAATTCTAATTGGCTAACTCACTCAGGGCTAAGAGTGAGTGTCGCACAATCACTTGTGAACGTCCCGAGAAAAATGTGATTATGACAATACGTATGTACATGTTGAACAAACTAATTTATTAAATAGTATAATTGAGAACGATTAATGTTCATATGATATATTTTTTAAAAATTGATATATCTATTATATATAAATTTAAATTTTGTATCTAATTAAATCTAAATTAGATTAAATTTATAATTTGGAAAACTTAGATACAAAGTTAATTTATAATTTTAAAAATTCACAAAGTTTAAAATTAAATTTACATTAAAAATTAAAGATAATATTAAAATTCAAGTTGCTTATTTATCAAAAGAGGAAGTGTTTACAGAAAAAAAAAAAAAAAAAAAAAAAAAAAAAAAAAAAAAAAAAAAAAAAA